CGCCCACCAGTCTTGGACGCCAAAGAATCACATTGCGATCAGTTGCCGCTGGAGAGCTTACTTCCAAAACTGTCGCTCGATTTGGAGCACAGGCGTGGACACTGACCACTTCTATGTCCTGATCTTCTGTTGTGTTTTGCCGGACGCCCACGATGACCTTGTGGGCGCATTGACAGCAGCCAGCTACTCTGAATGCATATCGAATTTCGCTGACTTGCGGGTTGAGTGAGCGCTTAGTGAATACAGCTAGAGGTCATTGGTCGCATGTTCACCAGACTTTACTAGCAGCAGGAAATTCCTCATGTGGTAAGTCTACTCGCCAACATAGACATTAGGTCTCTTATCAGTCTCTGCAACTTCTCGATGCTCGCTGGCCTATTCCGGCTGGAAGCGAACACAATGAGACTCGGAAAAACCTCCGGGCAAAACTCCATACTAGCCTGAAGAGAGACCGCGAATCTTGGTGATCTCATCTTGCGTCAGAGATGGAAGTGGCCGCTGCCCTTAGGAAGTTATTTCGTCTGATACGGAAATCGGACAGCAGGGGACCTGATGTTTGTGAAAATATCCGTTTCGAGAGAGGACAGCCTATTTTCAAAATGCTTGGAGCGTTTGACTGAGCACTTTGAAAGGCAATTTAATCGGTCAGAATTGTCAGATTTCTCGCCGGCCAGTGATCACGCTGCTCCGCGGGCTATCCCTTTGGATCTGCCCTCTCGCTCAGAATTTGAACGTGAGATCGGACTGTTGAAATTGAACGAGGCTGCGAGACCAGATGATCTACATCCAGTCCTCTTCAATTTCGCGGGCCCGGCTTTTGTTGCCGATTTACACGCATCACCAGTGAGACTGTAGGAGTAGGAAACTATCCCGCCAGACTGGAGCCGCTCCGTTATAGCCCCAATCTTCAAGGGAGGATCAGGATCGGAGTGCGGCTTCGATAAACAAATCAGTCTGATCTCCATTGCCTCTCCATATGCTTGTCTCCGTCATGCTCCACAGACTCGTGCGGAGCAAGCCAGGTTTCCTCCAGGTCGAGGCTGCATCGACCACATCTTTTGCGTCAGCTGTTGGAGCACCGTCACACATATTGCCGGCCCACCGTTTTCGTGGTCTTCGATATCAAAGGTGCCTTAGATTCGGTTGATCAATGTGCCCTTTGGGACTGTCTACTCAGGAAGGGCGTGATCGTGAAATATTTAAATAATATGCGAGCGCTTTACGCGCGAGGCCCGGGCAGTGAGGGCCCTCGATATCTCCAGTGGTCTGCGACAAAGATACCCGCCGTCATCTTTTCTCTTCACTTTCACCCTTGACAAAGTCATGGAGATCGCATTCACAGGTCACTACTTAGCAGGTCTGGAACTGCTCCCAGCTGAACGACATCTTGACTTGGAATATACCTTAATCTCTGACAGCTCCCAAATGTGCCACGCTGCACTAGCCAGGTTAGCACTGGCTGTCAGCCGTTTCGAACTTGGCTTTACACCCTCGAAGTGCAAACTTTTCCTCCATGATTGGTAGGGACCGCCTCTTGCGCTGTCCGTTAGCCGGGACCAACTGGAAGTCGTTCAAAAATTCAGCGCTCTTGGGATCCGAGACGAGATCAAGAGCCCTATAACAAAATCTCGAGGCGCTTTTGCTAACCTTCGCCACCTATGGCGCCGGCGTGACATCACTCTCTACCTGAAGGGTAGAGTGTACAATACAGCCGTCCGTTGAATTCTCCTTTACGGCTGTGAAACGTTGCCCATTAGATCAGCAGACATAAGGAGGCCAGTTACGTTCGAGCACCGGTACCTTCGCAGTTTGGCTCTTATCTGGTGGGAACACCGCGTGAGCAACAAGCGTGTTCGACGCCTTGTTTATGGCACAGAAAGCGGAAATGAACCGCTCAGCACCGTTATTTCACGCACCAGGCTTCGATGGCTGGACGGTGTGTTGTGCATGCCAGCACACCGACTTCCGCGACGTGCGTTCTGTGGATGGAAGAAGAGGAGCGGAGGCCAAACAGTGATTTGGTCGTGAGGAATAAAGGCCCTCACTTCGACGTCCTCAGTTGAAGCATCTCGACTGTGGACACGCTTGCTGACATGGCTAGGAGCCGATCTCAGTGGCGTTTGTGTTGTGAGATTCATTGTCCCTCCCCATCCTTATTAGCCTCCCCCTCCAATCGCGACCTCATTTCTTAGCATAATACAAATTTTGCTTAATAAATATTTTGCTGCATAGTAGCCGGTTGATAGCTTTCCGAATCCATGCACATCCGTTGCTGGTAGCTCAGCTCGCATGCACCTGTTGTAGGTTTTTTTTCTTTTCTTGTGTATTGAGGCACAGTAGTTGAGGTGTTTTCGACTTCTGGCTAAGATGTATAATGAATGAATGAACAATGGTTGCACGGCAGCGGAACACAGAGACTGCGTAGCGGTGTGCTGCTGATGCTTTTTTGAGCCATGCGTTCACTGCAGTGCTTCATCCATACCAACACAACATCCAAGCCTTCAAGCTTTAGGAACCACTTATCAGGTCGCAGTGCTCAATTTACTCGGCTACGTTTAACTTTACTCTCTAAGGCAGGTCAAACGACAAGGATGCACTTGCATGTACACTGGATACTCTGGGTGTTGTTGTGGCCTCTGTTTACGAGATTAGAATCCACCACTTTAGAACAGTTCTGATGCTAACGGCGCTTAGCCCATTCTATAGATGTCGATTGCGTGGGTCATGGGGCTCTGATACTTTAAGCCACTATTGCTAATGTTACCGGCTTCCAAGACGGTTGGCGTACTGTGTGGATGTGGATTCCATTATACGAGACAAGCAAGCGCGTTTCCTACGTAGCTAAAGCTGCATCGACCACCTTTCAGTTTGTGCCTATTACCAGATAGTCTCACTCGGTTTGTTATTCCCTTTTGTTAGATACCCTACCAGAATATAGTGTTCAATGAAATATCTGGTCGGCGGCATCCTGTTCCGAACCTGCCTGTCACTGCGGCCTCCACGGGGACAGCCACAGGACGCCTGTGCCTATAGAGGGAATATGGGTGGCTTGCGCTGCATCACCCACAGGTCTACTCACGTGCCCCATATCCGTTATAAACCTGAAGGAATAAGACTGGGAAGCATGTGGATGCGAGCCACCTTTCATCAACCGTGCCGGCCCACACTCCTTCAACATGCACAGCCGCCACGAGGACCGTGCACTTCTTCCCGCCAGCAACGATTCACAGTCTTTTGGAACCACTAATCGAGGTTGATGGTGTTAGACAGATAGTCACCTTGTCAACATTCACATTAAGCGCATCCACTCTGGGGATATCAATCAAACAACCAACATAGAATTTGAAGAAAAACGTACACACAAAATTGACACGGCAGCAGAATAGAAGAGTTGAGCAAATTAAAACAAATTGGAATTATTTTTATTCAGATTAAGCAGAGCTAGTTTAAGTGTAAATTGGTGTAACCGAACTGCGATGAAGAAGCATCATGAATGCAACATCAGCCTTAGCGTGAGGCATGAAATACACAGATACGCTAACGCCCACATACCTCAGGCTTTGCGGTTAATTTCATGTTGTCTTCCGACAGCACGTCGTTGTCGGCACGATTTACCCGTTTCTCTTTTCTCAGCTCTATTACTGATACCTACAAGTTTTGTAATGTAGAATCTCACTATACACACCTTGAATTGCCTCATAGAGATATGACCCATTTCGATCACACAAACATCTTCCACTCTTTCGGTACTCACACGATCTAATCTAATGCTGACAAATTGGCAGGAGGAGTCTCATCTTTCACCATGTATTCCGTACCGCAGTGGCACGCCACGCTTCTATCAAACTCCAGCTACTCACTGTACCTTTGACACTTGACGGTGAGCATTTGAGTTGATCAGTCCGCCCGTCTTGGCTGCCGTGATAAGATAGGTTTGTATTTCGGCCGAAATTATTTCTGTGTTCCGAATTCTGGCACCGTTTCCATGATTTCGAGACGCCCTTAGATTGCAGTGATGGCCGTTCACTTTACGACTGTGTGGCTTGTCCTTTTCGGATTGAGTACCTCAATCCTTTGCTCATAATTGCCTGCAGAACCTTGCACTTGTTTGGTATCATCAACACACCGGTAACGATGAGAGGCGTGGTTGAGTTTTGGGTGTTGATGGTCAGGCTGATTCGTGGGATCCTTAAGAGCAACCGTACAAGTTGCTTTATTCCATACTTATTGCGTGGTTCGCTCTGTGGAGTAACTTTCCGAGAGTCGATACACCTGGGCAGTGCTCAAAAACCCTATTTTCCTGAATCCTAGGGTAAGGTATACTGCACATCATTTTGAGGTACTGTTTCCCAGTGACGGATTTCTACTGCCTATTTCCCTTTGTTACCTCCAATGTTGCGTTTATTTATGTCCATTGTCCCGCATGCACCGTTTTTGCGATGTGATCGGTCCAGTCTACACGTTCGCGGCCTCGTGCCACATAAACCGCGTCAACTTTTCGTTGACCAGCTATTGAGTAGAGATTTCAGTTTCGCACTAGAGTTTCCATCCTAGATTAGTGTCTGGCGCTTTTCTCACATACTAGCAATACTGCCTAGGCATCAGTCATCAAAGACTATCAATCTTTCACTGTTTTCAGAGCTCGGTGACCAAATCCCTGCTCTGCACTTTAACTATAGCATTGTGGGGTCTTTTTTGATATGTCACTGCTAAACACCACAAACCAGGATCCGGTGGATGCGCGCTACTGACAAGTCTCAATTGGACAAAATAAATTTGTGATCTCTGTCTGATTGCGTTTAGCTACGATCAGCCTTGTCAAAATGTAGTAAAAACCCCCTATTGCACTTTACAATCGATTTTCATCAATCGGATGATTTTCTTAACTGGCACACCGGGACATAAGTGTCCTGTCTTCCTTTTCGTCATTTCACGTCGACTATTTTGATCATTATACTTTTCATCTGGATTTTTAAGTTGCCTTCTTTCGTTGCTTACGCTTTTCAGATGTGGAGAGCAAGTACTCGCTTGGCAGTCAACGTGCATCATTCGGACTCGAGTACTGACGATCATCTCGGCGCGCACGCTCAGCCATTGACATACGAACTAGGTACCCGACCGTCCGCTGAATTGCGTAAGAAGGCTAAGGATGCGCACACATGCGGCTGTCAGCATCGACGGGACCCGAATTATTTAGTCCAACGACTGCAAATGACGCTTTCTCACTCCATCCCTTCTATGACATTAACCTCTGTGTCCACTATTTTGGGATTGTTGGTCAATTTGATGTCTTCCATTGTTGCCGTACAGCGTTTTGCTGTATTCTCAGTTTTGCTAGTCCTATGTAATTTTATATTCGTTATTCTAACAGCGCCTATCGTGTTTCTCCTTTTCGATTCATTTTATTACGAGTCTTTTACACATCGATTGCATCAGTTATCTCGCCTTTTATCTGCATTTATCCTCCGCGCCTGCCTTATTCTTCCTTGCGTGTCGATTTTGGCCGTATGCATCGCATTTTACCATTTGTTCTTTGCACACCGTTTCCATCTGGCTCAGACTGGTGGGAAAATGTCTTCCTTCTTCTCTTCCACTCATCCATTTGAAGAGTTCGTAAATGAACAGTCACAATGGTTTTGGGCTGAACGAAATCTGCACCATTATTCGAATTTGTTGGAGGCTCATTTTGTCTGGGGATTTCTTCCCAAAGATGGACGGTCATTTTTGACTTTTGATCCCGATGTGCATGGTCTCTATTCGACGAAATGGGTTCCGGACCATATCTTGAATTTGACCTCACCATCATCTCGCCGGTGGATATCCGATTTTTGTAACAACCACTTGAAACAATTTCCCTACCTATTTCGTCTGAGTGACGCGATCAGCCACACAGAACTCTATTCCCCTCTTGGAATCAGTCACCTGAAACCTTACACAACCTCTCCCGTTTGGTGTCCCTTAGGCCGGTTCCCTAATTCTGTTAACAACTTCGTCTTTGCTCAGGCGTGTCAGTCAAGTAGCGAACATTGCTGTCCTTCAGGGCACCCTCTGGATGTGCTTGATGCTCCGGATACGCAATTCCGCAGCTGTCTTGGGGAATACGTGTCCTACCACTTGCACACCTTTCCACGGGAATATCATTCGGGTTACCGTTTTTCTTTTACAGGACACTCTAATGAGCCAGTTGCTCTTATTCTCACCGTGTTGACCAATCTTTCAACAACCACTAGCACACACGCTGAGCTTCGTCGATTTACAGAGAACGTGGCTTCCTGGTTTCAAGCTAGCTTGCTAAACGCCCCCGCTTCGCTGATTGGTGGACAGGTGGTTGTCCCCGCTTTGGCTGCTTTTGAGGTCACTCTGAACGTGGTTCAGTACATTCACTGGAGTGTTCTATCCTCAGTTTTTTTGGCCACTCTTCTGGTGCTCCTAAGCAGTCTAAACATGTGGCTCTCTGTTCTGGCATTCTTGAGTTTGAGCAGCTGTTTGTTGACGACAGTTGCTACTCTCATCACCTTCGATCATTGGACTTTGGGCGTCGTGGAGGGCCTAGTGATCAGCCTGGCTGCCGGCCTAGCAATCGATCCATGCATTCACCTTGCGGTCTCAGTCTCTTCGCGAACTGCAAAGTCCAGCACTGTTTGCCGTCTATTTACCTTCTGGTCTGATGATGCAGTCCTGCAGTCCGTCACTGTATTGAGCAATGCAGTGACGGGTTCTGCCTTCAGCACTGCAATCGCTGGGCTGTCTATGGTCACGTGCCGCTTGTTGTGTTACCATCAAATCGGAGCTTTCCTTGCAACCCTTATGTCTTTCTCTTGGCTATTCTGCTACCTTTTGTTCGCGGGTTGTCTGGCTTGCTGTAGCCGCCTGTTTCGAACACGCAGATCCAACTCCTGACTTATTTTGCATTTGACCTACCCTATGCTTTTCTTATCATGTATATTTTTTGCATGCATATTGATGTGCTTCAAATGGCATCATATATTTATTTATATTTCGTTTGAAGTATATTAGCTACATCAATCTTGATATTCTTCCTCTTCCCTGTTATCTTTCCGCCAACATCGCGCCACTGCCATTATAGTTTTTCACTAGGAGATGCAGCCCGTTTCTAGTAACTGAGTTGCGCAAGTTTTGTTTTGAACTTACTATAATCACACCTCTCATCAACCGTCTGTAAATAAGTAGGCCATCACCCATCATAGTGATCGGAGTTTGTTGGCTTTCTAATTTTCGTTACCGTTCTGCAGCCCCGGATGTTTCACCCGGTCGATAACATTCGTGTCCAGGAATACACACTGCAGTTGCCTAGAGCGAGGGCCGACAACTCTCGTTTTGCTGACTATCTCATTCACTGGCCCATATTCGCTGTACCCGTGGTGTATTGGGGCATTTAGGTTGGTTATGGCTGTGAGCGCATCACGCATGTTCATTACATTGTAGACAAACCGATCTCATTGTGCGCTGCTACTATGTTGATACCGAGAGAATCCCTTCGCAACTATCAACTACATCATCACGCGGTTACGGTCGGAGATGTTCAGAAACTGTGTATGAAGTGCTGATCGCCCAGTGGGAAGCTTGGACACTACTTTTCTTTCGCTTACGGAATGCGTCTTCCTTTTTATTCACTGTCCAATTGTACACTAGGGCGCTTCACAGTGGTCACATCCGGTATTCCTAGACGTCTATTGTTCGCATACATCCGAGTCGGGACATCTGTGGTGCAACGGTTCATGTGCTTAGCTGTCAATCTGTATGTGTTGGGTTCAAACCCCATCTACTATGTAGGTGTAAGAGTCTCAGCAGTTTCACATCCCGCATGCAATCGCCTGTGGTTGCACAGCAATGAAGCGTCCTTTCAAGGTTCTGGAGCCACTGTTGGTACTAGTTACAAGTTCACACACTTCGCAAAGTCAGCACACCTTATTATTGTTTGCACCAGCCACAAACTTACAGCTCAGTGATAATCTACGAAGCAGTATGGATAATAGTGGCTTGGAGAGATCCGAAAAGCGACTAATCTCTCGGGGATTGCTACTTTAAGCACGAACACCTCTCTTGAACCTAGCCACAATAAATGATTCACCTCAGGAGCAAAGAACCGTTTCTTCATGCTAGGTTCTGAAGAACAATGTGGTTAGCTAGCTAGGGATTATTGCACCGCTGTGCTTGAACAGCTGCGGAGGAACCGCGTTTGATCCGGCAGCCTTGAATCGCTTCAAGTGCCGAATCGCAAGACAAACTTTTGCTTCCCTGGGTGGGTCAAGTGTAACGACCCAGAGCGAGCAGCTGGGTTCGCAGGGAATACAAGTGGACGGGGAGGGCCAACTGAACTGGGAATGAAAATGTTCGGCCCATTAATCCAAGCGTATCGGTAGGTTGCCAATCGGCGAACCATGAGCTTCGAATATTGTCTCCTTGACACCAAGCTTCCTGTGGCTACTGAATCGATTGCACTTGAAGAGATTGCGAGTATTGTCATAGGGCGTAGCCGCCTCAATTTCCAAAGGCCACTGAGACCATCAGGCTTCGTGATCACAGCGAAGATTTTGTTTGAGCTCCCGGCCAACAGAACGGTGCACTTCGTTATGATTAGGCTCTGCTGGAATGTTTCTGCGGCGGTCAAATAAATCCAGGGAGCGCGTGTAGATCTAGGCCTTCATTGGCGCCAAGTATAACGGCGGATTATTTTACGTGAATCTTTAACTTCCGCATGAACATTCAATTCTCATCATTGTATTGCCGTTGGTCGCAGCTAAGTGCATCTGCCAGGGATGACTGATAGCGTAACTGAACTGATGGAGCAACTGGTCTATTTGTATCAACCTTCCACTGCTTCGTTTTCGAAAACACTGAAATTTACAAATGTTCGCACAGACTAGCTCATGTTCTGACTTGAGAAATGTGGACCAGATTGATCTACAACCTCGTACGCTACCCCACCATTTGAAACTGATTGTCATGTGACTAATGTGAGATCAAGGCTATCTTGGTGCATGTGGTCACCAAGCAGTGGAGTGTCTCCTCATATACCTGAAGCGGGTGTTCGCCTGACTCAAGCATTTATAAGTAATTCCCTCTTCGTCACCTAAGAAGCTCTCATCGAGCGCATGATGACCACTGAAGTGATCTTCACATGGTAATAGACGGCCGATTCTTGCGCTGAAGTCCTCAGCAAGGATAACAATATCGGATTTTCCAACTGCTCAAGAGCTGGTGAATTTTACGATGATACTTTTCCTTGACTGAGTCACAGTTGCAATTCGTTGAAGCATACGCGGAGTTCATAAACTAGTTTCGCCTCTTCTCGCAACGCCTCTTGATCATGCGTGAGCCGCAAAGCAGAACTGCACAGATAGGCTGTTAATCCGAAATCAGTCTAGCAATGTGACTTCGGCTTTTGCTACTTAGTGCTACACTGGTCACGTCTCCGATCCATACAAAAGACCGGCATTACCGTAACGTTATACACCATGCCTTTCACTAACAGGCTGATATCCCGCCATCTCCATAGATGGTTTAGTCTATGGAAAATCACACGGGCCTTGTTGATACGCGAAGTAACCACCAGAAGTGACACGACTACCAAGGTAAACGAGCCGATCCTCTACTTCCAGTAGCTGTTCGGTAATTGCTAGAATCGGAAGTGTGTCGCTCCAGTCCTGAAGCACTAATTTGCACTTTGACGGTACAAAGCACATGGCGAAACATGTGTCAGTCTATCCGGTAGTTTTTGCATAGCCATTGCGTCCGACACAAGAAGAGCTATATCGTCCGCATACTACTAGTTTGTCAGCCAGTCACGTGGCAGAACTTACACTCCGCCGCAATCTGAAAGTACAAGGTCCCTCATGATCATTTCGATCACAAAGTTGAAGTGGAAAAGCGAACCCCACTTGTTGTGAGGAACTCAAGAGACAGTTTTCCGTCGACCCTTATACGGCCTCGGGAGTCACGATAGAGAGACTGGGATGTCAGGTTACTCGGATCTTGCAATCTGGTTTCGGAAAGACAGCAGACTTCAATGGTGATGGGTTTCCAGGTACACACTAGACCAACCTGTTGCCCGATTTGCGTTAATGTATGTACATTAAATCATGCTAAACGAAATATGGATCGAGGACGAAGTAGGGCTGCTGGTAGAGCTCTCTGGGCGTTGACGAAAATATCGGGAATAAAATCATTGAAACTGGAATCAACTGGTAACGGACAATATTGCAGAAAGCGCTTGAATAGCGGAAGCAGGCGTAGTAGAACGCGGAAAAGCACATGAGGGATCCATGGCTTTACCAGTGGCCGTGGTACTAACCGGTTGCTCAGGCTGCAGTGGGGAGTTGTCTTATGGGACCCCACCCCGAGCTTTTCGCCACATAACCTGCCCACAAGACGATTGGTCGAATTCAGAGAATTGCGCCTGCTGGGCGCGGGTGACTGATATTTCCGTTCATACGTCTTTCGTTCATTGAGTAATTGGACAGTGGCGCTTATCCTCCCCACAATGTCACCACGCCACGCTCCGCAGAATTGGCGAGTCGCGTCGCAGTATCATTAAACAGACATTTGTGACTTTTGTAGGCAGAACACTTATCAGAGTAAAACCCACCTAGAAGGCTTCCGCCGAATCATTTGCTTGAACGGGTTATTCCCGAACCACCCAGCACGCACCGCGAGGAGGTAGTTAGGCGAGCCAGCTCTAGGACGACCCGCTAATCAAAACTAAAATAGTTTGGGGAAAACGTGTGAAAATGATAGTCATGCAGGCAGTTACATATCGTACTGACGGCTCGTTGAGTTGGCCGATGGGGTAAGACGGAGATGCGTGAAACAGACCGCTAGCTTATCTAGTTCATCTTCATATGGTGGGTCCGAGAGGTCATTTAGGACCCTGGAACTGAACTGATGCTTATGCACAAGTGTTTACCAACTTGCTTATCCGGATTATTATATCCAATTCACGGACGCCAATCTTCTCACATTAGCGGCGCGATCCGACAGTCAGAAATGTGGCCGCACATTTAAAAATCCAAGCAACACAGCTACATACTGTAGCGTTACTTGGTTATCTGTATGTATTTTGTTACTCTCTCTGCGAATACACACTCCCGGGCGCAGACTCTTTTCGCTCTTTCCCACCTCAGCTGCTGTGTGGTGCACTGTAGACATTTCAACCCGAGAGCTAACATTCTCTCACCTTTTTCAGTTAACCGAACTTATTACGGATTCCACTCGGACCATTGCGCATGACCATACATATGTGCACTCACACATACATTCATCATGGTAAACATTTTTGTACATTTCCCGATCATTCGCTGTCCTCTTACCATGACCAAGGCTATACAGGTGGGCTTCGTTTTGTCGAAGATAGACAATTTATTTATTTACACAATTACTGAGTGAGACTGCATCCAGAAATAAGTTTTAAAATCGCACGATCAAGGCGTAGCCATCCTGAAACAGGTCAGGAACGTGGTGGAACCAATGACAACAATACCTAAAACCACTATTGAAGATTAGACCTCTGGATACTAAATACATTGTAAGTCTGACTTAACCAAACGTTTTGTTAACCTATGTGAATCAAGAAACGTTGCGATACGAATGTGCGTAGAGAGATTTGGCGGCAGATAAACTGACTGCAAATTCGTCTCTCCTGTCTGTCTAAGTGATGATATGCAAAGGAGCCCGCGCTCTATCAGCACCGCGAAAAGCATGTATTAAAGCGGTATATTTAGAGGCGTTGACAACATTTAGTCTGGCCATTGATAAGCTCACAGGGGCATCCTTCACTGAAGCATCGAAGCTGACTCAGTAGCATAACCATACATTCCACCTCAACTCCTCAGCATCTTTGCTTCAAATCGAGAGCGCTTGATCCAGCGTGTCATTCAAGTTGTCTTCACCACTATATTTCTTGACCTGCAACTCCTAACCAATAGAACACCTAGCGGTTATGTATCATTGCACCTTTTTGATGTTCTGCGCACTACCTTGCTGTTGTTTGTCTTCCGCGAGTGATCTAACTC